TGCGAAAAATTTTATTAAAATTTCTGAAAGTAATTGAATATCTACTAAGAATTTTGTTACTTTTAATTTATGCCAAGAATTTTATTAAAATTTTTAAAAATAATTGAATTCCTGTTAATTTTTTACAAGAATTTAATTATTTTTGAAAATTTTAATAAAATTCTTCGCCAGAATTCAATTATTTTCATGAATAGTAAAATTCAATGTAGAATTTTCAATTATTTTATTTATTTTTAATACAATTTTAATCAAATTTCTCGAAAAATGTAATTATTACTAAAAATTTTATTAAAATTCGTTGATAGAATTCAATTATTTGAAAATTTGTTGATAACGATTTTTTATGGGAATGGAATTTTAAGAAACGTTCAATTATTCAATAAATTATTTATTTGCATTTTATTTGTATTTAAATAATTGAATTATAGTAGAATTTTCTAATAAAAATTGATTTTCATTTTATAAAAATGAATTTCAGTAAAAATTTTAGATAATAATTGAATATTAAATGCAATAGAGCGTGAATTTAAAAAAATAATTGAATTTTGTAATTAATTTTTTTGACAAAAAAAAAAAAAAAAAAAAAAAAAAAAAACATTTTCATTGAATGTGCGTGCTCCAGTTATGGCGCGCAACACAACCTCTAAATACACGTTATTTTCCCCGCCGTAATTGGCGCGCCGAAATTGACTCAACCGCGCCATAATTGACGTTTTTAATCCTAATTCTTATTGCTTTAATTTTGTTTAAATAATTAGTTTTTATAAAGTTTTTATAAAAGTTTTATTATCTATATGACACGGGCTTTTAGTTTAATAAGCCATAAATTTACTTCTTTCATTATAATTTTTCAATTTTCTATTTCAAAGACGGCTAAACCAGAACCGCGCCATAATTGGCACACTTACCCTATGAGAGAAATCCAAATTTGAAATTTTTTATAAATTTGATTTATTTTAGAATAAATTTTACTAAATTCAAAATGTAGGTATATTTTACTAATTTAATATATAATATAAATAAAAAATAAATTGGAATCAAATTTGAATTTTAATAAAAATTACGACGGATATTATAAAATTTACTCTAGAAATATAACGATTTTTAATAGCAAAATTTACTATTTTTCAATGTCAATTTTTTTATCAAAATTGTTCAAATTTTCCTCGTACATTTCAATTAGCTATCAAATATTCTTACATTTATAGTAAATTTTACTATTTTTGAAATAAATTTTTCTAATTTTTTTTATTAAAAAAATTGTCTTTGAAAATAGTAAAAATTATTCTGGAAATACCAATTTTTTATATTAAATTCTATTATTTTTGAAGGAAATTTTCTCAAGTCTTAAGTTAATTTTACTAATTTTTTTCTGAAATTTATCGTAAAATTCGTGTAATTTTAAAACAAAAGTAGCGGTAAAATAAAAATTTTGTGTAAAAATTTAAATAGCGTTATGAACTACGGGAAATGATAAAAAAATATCAATAATTAACAGAAAAAGTTTAACAAAAAAAATAATTTGGTTTAAAAAAAGCGGAAGTTGTAAGAAAAAGTAAAAAGAAAATTTTAAATAAATTTTATGCGCTATAATACAATAACTTTTACTTATTTTAAAAATTCCCTTTTTTGAAAAATAAAATCCTCTTTTTTACCTAATATTACATGAAAAAATCACTGTGATCCCTGCAAAAAAGAAATTTGTTTCGAATAAAATTTTGCTTCATTTTGAAATTAAATTTTAAGTTTGAATTTTTATTTACTCTTTTAAATTTTTTTTCTTAAAAGGACTTCCTGAAATTTTGTTGCTTAACAACAGTTTCTTAGCAATTATTTTTTTAATTTCGTTGCTAAACAATAATTTTTAAAAAAATTATTGAATTTCGTTGCTCAGCAAAATTTTTTAGAGTTTCTTTTAAATTTGGTTGCTTAATATTTTTATTTATGTAAATATTGCTAAAATGCTTATTAGAAACTTATTTAAATTTTATTGCTGAATAACAGTTTCTTTTGAAATATTTTTTCAAATTTTGTTGACATTCGAATTGATTTGGCATGAGAAAAAAAGTAAACAAGAAGATAAAAAATTGCAGTTTCGGAATGAAATCGATTTTTACTTTTTATTTTAATGTGAATCAATTTTGTATTTAAAAAATACAAGAATCTTTTTCTTCTTATTTTCATGTAAACACTATTTTCCATGTAATTGATTGTATTTTAAAATGACGACAGTTAATTTTACGCTTGTTTGCATTTTAATCGAAGGCGAATTTTCGATGATAGGCACTTTTTTTATATACTCAATTTTCAGAAATGTCAATCTTACTCATATGTTTTCGTAATAAGAATTGACGTGGTGGAATCGTAACAATTTCTTGGTGAGAGAGGGTCGATTTTTTTTTTTTTTTTTTTTTTTTTTTTTTTTTTTTTTTTTTAAGGGCTATTACAACACGTGACTTTTTTTTGATCTAAAACTCTCGTTGACATTAACCTTTTTTTCCCCTCTTTTCTGCTTTTTTTATCCATAGATATCACGGTTGAGTTCATTTAGTTGTGAGAAATTTCGCAGGGGTCCATCTTATAGGCTTTTAGTGATCGATTTTTTTTCCTACATATAACTGAGATTTCCTATATTCCCCTCTTGAAAATAGATTTTGCTTTAATTTAATTACCTAACATTAGGTGGGGATTTATATTTACTTCTTCCTCCTCGATAAAATGAATTGCATTTTTTCTTTTATTTTTCTTTAAAAGGAAACTTTTCTGAATTAGAGAAATTTTAATTCAATTTAACAAGGGTGGTGGTCACTGAACCTTGGAACTTTTAAAATTGACAAAAGGTCGTGAAGTTTTGTGCTTTGGAAAAACAAATTCATCTTGATTTTTTTTCGTTACACTTTATTACTATTTCGTTTGCGAGAGAATTTTCATGCCCTCTAGGCGGGAATTTAAAAAACTATATTGGCGCGAAATTAAAAAAAAGAAAAATAATTAATAATTTATTAATGTGCAAATTTTTCTCCTTTTTATTTATAAAAAATAGAAAATTGTTATTTGTTAAAAAATTATGATTAAGAAATGGCCAATAAATCACCATTTTATGCATAATTTTTATTTCTCAATATCAATATTGTTCACAAACTCATTCTTTTATTTTATAAAAAAACACAATAAAATTAATTAATACGGTCAAAAAACAAAAATCACAATAAACTACATATTCCCGTTCCTTAATATTTTTGTAGATAATTCTCAATTTTCATAAGGAAATAATTTGCATCATTTCTATTTCTTAATTACAATTGTTTTAATAAAATTCAAAGTTTTTTAAAAATAAAGAAAAAAAAATGTTTACAAATTCTGTGTGTCAATAGCAAATTTTAATTAAAAATGAAAATGTTTTAATTTTTAGAAAATAAAGGAAAAAACTTTATTTAAAAAAATGTTCTGTTACATTTATTTACAAATTTATTTACCTAATTGTAAAATTATTCGAAAACATCAATAACTTCTTTTTAAATAACTATTTAATTATTATTATTTTTCCATAGGAATTAAGATTTTCAAAAATTTCAAATTCAAAATTTTTTGAAATTAAACAATTCATAAAAATATTATTGTAAAACATGAAGATATTTTTTTTTGACTCGGAGTGAACGAATTCTTCATGTTTTATAATAATGAAAGATGTTCGAGTGATAAAATCATTATTTTATAATAGGTATAAGTATTTTGTAACTATGTAACTTCTTCTAAATTATTTTCATATTCAATTATTATCTAAAATTTAAAATAATATTCATTTTTAAATCAATTTTTATTAAAAAATTCTACGGGAATTCAATTATTTAATTGCAAAAGTAAATTATTTATTGAACGTTTCTTAAAATTTAATTCTTATAAAGAATTTTATTAAGAAAATTTTAAATAATTAAATTAATGAATTCTTTTGACAAATTTTAATAAAATTTTTATTAATGATTACATTTTTCGAGGAATTTAATAAAAATTGTATTAAAAATAATTGAAATTCTGCGATGAGTTTTATTATTTATGAAAATAATTGAATTTCTGCGAAGAATTTTATTACTTTTAAAAATAATTAAATTTCTTTAATCATTTGTAACTTCTTCATAATTCATTTTTTTTAATGTTTGTACCTAACTAAATTTTTTTTTAAAATCCATTATTCTTAATAATTCTATATTGACAAATTTAATTAAGATTTTGAATTATGAAAATTATTTAAAAATCTAAGTTCATTAAAATTTGTAATTAAATTCATTCAACACTGAAATTTTATAAAATCTCGAATTGAAACCGTTTGAAGTTCATTTATTTATGAAAATTGTAAACGCAACTCTTTTAAAATTGAATTAATTTAGAAATATTTAAGTAGAATAACTAAAAAAAAACTAAAAAAAACTAAAAAAACTAAAATAACTAATTTATAAGTCATTTTATGATAGTTGTTCAAGATTTAAGTTATTTAAAAAGAAATTTTTGTCAGAAATTGAAAAAATAAAAGGTTTTGTATTAGAATTCGTGGTAATTTTATAGTTTATAAGTCAAACAAAAAAGACACCAAAATTCAGAATTTTCTTATGAATTCTAAAAACTTAATTCTTTCGACAACTTTTAATAAAAATCCCTGACTTTTCCCCGAATTCCCTCTGTCAGAATATAATTACATGATTATTTTAGTTATAATAATATTAAAACTATTTTCCAATTCATATTTTATTTTTGTGAAAAAAAATTTAAATTAAAAATTTTTACATTATATTATTCATTTATTTTTAAAATTGATAATTTTATTTAAAAAAAAAATCGAGTAAGAAGTCAGCCGCGCGTTAATTGATTAATAAAGTAGAATATTATTTTTAATTTTTATCGGTTTTTAGATTTTTTATCGCCTTTGCACTTTATCCATATGAATGATATTAATTTTGACTATTATAATATTTATTTGAAGTATATTGATCATTTAATCTCGTTACCTGACTGAGCATCGGTTCAGTGTTTACTTGACACATATAAGTGCCAGAATCGTTTTGGTTGACATTTGATACGTGCAGCTTCCATGTGTTATGACCATTGTGCGTCACTGATAGTCGTGGATTTTGCGCAACCATATGCGTGTGTATTGCCAGGATAGCCCGTGAATCGGATTTTATCCAAGCTACCTAAAAATTAAATTCCCACTAATTTATAATTGGAAATAATATTCTTAAATAAAATTTATAATAAATTATTTTATTTATTTGTCATAAAATTTACTTATAAATATTAAACGTTTACGAAAATTTTAATTTAACTAAATTTTAATCGATTTAAACTTAAATTGATCCAAAAACCAAAATGAAAATCGGATCAAGTTTTATTTAATTAAATCTAATTATTATTAATATTCTGTAGAATATTGTCAATTGAAAATGTTGAATTATGAATATTTGATAAATTATTCGTAATTCAAAATTTTCAATTGTTTACCTTCTTTTGTATTTTTTTTTAAATTTTTATTTTTATCTCGTTTTGTAAATGAAGATTTTGTGATTTTTGAAAATTGTTTTTTTGGAGAATATAAAGATTTTATAGATTTTTTTTAGTACCTTGAAACCTTGGAGATGTTCTACAACACAAGTAAAAGAGATATCGCGTCCTTGAATTACTGTGTGATTTTCCAGGGGAAATAAAAATTGGGGCATTACTGCTGGGGTGATTTGGCCTGAAAAATAAAAATAATTTATTTTTAATAATATTTATATTTTATTTTGTCCATTATATTTTTTTTTACTTAAAATTTATTTTGCTAGTTTTTATTGGTGTAAAAATGCAGAGTCAAAACTCGTCAACCGTGAATAATGAATTTTTGCATTATTTAAGAAAAATATTAATAACTCATTACTGTTTTGCTAGAAATTAATGGCAATTTTTTTGGTAGTCATTGAATATCCACTCTTTTAAATAAACTTAATTGTGAAAAAAAATTTTGAAAAATTTTTAATTTTTAATAACAATTTTATAAACAATTAGTGTTTTTTATGCTTTCTAGGGCAAGGATTTTAATGAAATTTATATGTAATATACATTGAACCTACATCTTTATATTCCCGAAAAAAAAATTTGTATTTCCAATTACAACCGGAGCAACGGTGCAACAAAAAATTCAAAATCTCCGGTTGTAATTGGAAATACAAATTTTTTTTTTCGGGAATATAAAGATGTAGGTTGGTTTGCTGTGAACTACAGATTTTCATAAATGTTTTGACTTTTCCAAAACTATAAAAAAAATGTATTCACGGTTGACGCACGCGTTTTGACTCTGCAAAAAATAACAATTTTTGCTTGAATTAGCAAATTTTACAAATAAATACTAATTTTTGCTAAATAAGTAAAATCAGGGTTGCCGCAGGTTAGGGAAATCAGGGAAAAATCAGGGATTTTTTTAAAAAAATTTATTTTAAATAACTTAATTTTATTGAAGAACTGCCATAAAGTTATTACTTATAAACCATTTAATGATGTTGAATTCTTTGAAAGAATTCAACTATTTTATAAAATATTAAAATTCTTTCCAGAAATTCAATTATTTTCAAAAATTTTTTTAAAAATTCTTGTCAACATTTTAATTAAATTTATAAATGGTAAAATTCTTCGCCGAAATTCAATTATATTCAAAGAATTTTTAATAAATTCAATTATTTTCATAAACAACAATATTTATCACAAGAATTCAATTATTTTAAAAATTAATAAAATTCTTCACAGAAATTCAATTATTTTCAAGGAATCAAAAAAAAAAAAAAAATTGTCGTCAACATCTCAATTATCTTTATAATTGAATTAGCAAAATTCTTCGACAAAATTCAACTATTTTCAGGAATTTTAATAAAATTCAATTATTTTCAAAAAATTTTAATATAATTCATGGCAGAATTTTAATTATTTTTAAAAATTTGTCTTAATTCAATGATTTTCAATATTCTACTATTTTAATAAAATTTTCCAAAAGAATTCAATTATTTAAAAACCATTTCAATAAATTTGTTCGCAAATATTCAATTATCTTCTAAAATAATGAAAATTTCACAGGAATTCAATTATTAAAAATAAAATTTGCATACATTTTTTCAAAAAAAAATCAATTGTTTTAAACTTTTTTTTATAAAATTCTTCCTAATAATTCAATTATTTTTATAATAAAACTCAATGCAGAATTTCAATTATTTGCTAAAATTTGTTGCTAAAATTCTATTCTAAGAATTAAATTTTAAAAAACATTCATTTATTCAAAAAATTATTTACATTTGTATTTGAATAATTGAATTCTCGTTGAATTTTCTAATAAAAATTGATTTAAAAATTAATTTCATATAAAGTTTTAGATTTAAGTTTGGAGAAGTTACTAATAATTGCAATTTTTAGAAATAATTTAATTTTGTAAACGTTACAAATTAAAATATTTGAAAATTGGAATTTTTCATACTTTTAATTAAAAATTCTATGGAATTTATTTTTTTCAAAAAGCTTAATTGCAATTTTTTAAAATTATTTCAAGTTTTTATTTTCTAATGTAGAATTGAAGAATATCCAAATAATCGAAATTTCGTAAAACTAAATTGTAAACTAAATTTGAATTTTTCAAATGAATTTGAAAATTCTCAAAAGAACTTTATCATAAATTATTAGAATTTTATTTAAAAATTTTAGAAAATAATTATTGAATTGAAAATAATTTTTAAGAAGTTACAATAAGAATATTTTTATATTATAATATCAAAAATGATTTTATCAATTTGCCATCTTTCATTATTATAAAACATGAAAAAATGGTTCAGTCCGAGTCAAAGACTCGGAGTGATCCATCTCTTCATGTTTTATAATAATATTCTTTAAAGTTATTGAATTTCAAAAGGTTTGAATTTGAAATTTTTGAAATCATTTTTCTTATGAAAAAATAATAATGATTAAAAAAGATGTTAAGTTCGAAAATTTGTAAATAAGTTCGATAAAACTTTTTTTTTTTTTTTGAGTATCTAATCATGTTTAAAGAGAATTAGAATATTCTTTAGGGTCAGGGAAAAAGTCAAAATTTTGTCTGGAAATCAGGGAAAAGTCAGGGAAAAACAAAATTAAATTTTTGTGGCAACCCTGAAAATTGACTAATAATTGAAAAGCAAAAATTCAGTTCCTACTAATTTAAATTAGGAAACTTTTTTCTAATTCAAATTTAATTGATTAAAATTGTCACTAAAATATTGAAAAAAATTTTTAAATATTGACTAAAATAAAAATTATTTGATTCAGGTAAATATTCATTTGATAGTTGTCAAGTAATCGTTTACAGGAATCAATAGTAAATTTTTCCTTCAGTGCATAATAATGTGAAACTAATTTTTGATTTAATTGTCTTGAAGGAAGTTTTGACTGTAAGTGTGCATCTGTTATACTATATATAAATGGTGGAATCTAACAATAATAATCGATTTCTCGTCGCCGTAACTTAGTTACGAAATTCTATACTCGTATTGTTTAATCTTAGGTGACAATACCTTAAATGCATGAACGCACAGCGGTCGATTAGATATTCAACGGGGTGGATGTTCTCGAAACTACACCCATATTCGCGTATTGAATTCTTGTATGCGTTCATGCAAAAGGAGCGATAAATGGAAAAATTCTTCAGGCGCAATCCTAATCCAGCAAAAAGGGCCAATTTTAAAAAGTTTTATAGCTCTCAGAGTCAGGGAAAGTAGAAAATGTTCTCTTCATCTCTATTCATTTCACTTGATATATAAAAAAATAAATTCTTTCTCCTTCTCCTTCTTCTTTTTTTTATTCTCAAGAAAAATTTTTCTTCTTCAATATTTGTAAGCTACTGTATTTTACCTCTCAAAAGGATTATTCAAATAGAAGGCAAATTTCTTCTCTCTTTCTATCTTTCGACATTTTTCAAATTAGTACAATTTTTTTTTAATTTTTCTTTTAGAAAAATATTTTCAATTACGAAAAGGAAAGCAAATTTTCTGGAGGAAAATCAGGGTTAACACAGATCAGGGAAGTCAGGAAATACAGAGAAAAGTTAGGAAAAAGTAGAATTGTTCAGAATCAGGGAAAACTCTGGAATTTTTATTAAACTGGAAAAAAATTATTTTTTATATTTCATAAGAAAATTCTGAATTTTGGTGTCTTTTTGTTTGTTCCATATAAACTATGAAATTACCACGAATTCTAATACAAAGCCTTCAATTTTTTCTATTTCTGACAATAATTTCTTTTTAAATAACTTAATTCTTGAAAAACTATCACAAAATTATTATTACTTAAAAATTATTTAATGAATTATTTTACTTAAATATTTCAAAATTAATTCAATTTTAAAAGAGTTGCGTTAACAATTTTCATAAGTAAATGAACTTCAAACGGTTTTAATTTGAAATCTTATAAAATTTCAATGTTGAATGAATTTAACTAGCAATTTTAATGAACTTATGTAGATTTTTAAAAAATTTTAATAATTCAAAATCTTATGAAATTAGTTAAATTTTTCAATATATATATTTAATTAATTATTCAAAATACTGGATTTTTAGAAAAGTTTTAGTTAAAATCATTAAAAAAATTGAATTTTGAAGAAGTCGCAAATGATTACAGAAATTCAATTATTTTCAAAAGTATTAAAATTCTTCGCAGTTGTTGTTGTTCAAAAATTTAAATAAATTTTTGGCAAAATTTCAATTACCTTTAAAAGTAATAAAATTCTTCTCCTAAATTTAATTATTTTCAAAAATTTTCGTCAACTTAATAATCATTTTCAATATCTACTATTTTAATAAAGTTTTTCAAAAAAGAACTCAATTATTAAAAAAAATTTTAATAAAATTCTACGCAAATTTTTAATTCTTTTCATAAATGTAATAATTCCATAGAAATTTCTATTCTTTACAAACTTTTTATAAATTAATAAATAAATACTTTGCAAATATTTAATTATTTTCATAAATAATCAAATTTTTTACTGGAATTCAATTATTTAAAATAAATTTTTTTCTTTTTTAAAAATAATCAATTATTTAAAAGAATTTTTATAAAATTCTTTGCTGGAATTCAATTATTTTCAAATTTTAGTGCAACTCTTCGCAAAAATTCAATTATTTTCCAAACTTTTAATAAATTTTTATAAAAGTATTAAATTATTAAAATTTTAATTAAATTCGGCAATTAAAATGGTAAAAATTTAATTCCTCATAAATAGTAAAATTTTTCGCTGGAATTCAATTATTTAATGTTTTGAAATACAATTTTCATAAAATATTTCAAAAAAATCAATTTTTTATAAAATTTTTCGCAAAAAATTAATTATTTTTAATTGGAATAGTAGGTAAAAAAATTTGTTACACGAATCCTTATTAATAAAATCAGACTTTTGTCTGTACATTGCATAGAATTCAAAATTTCTATTATATTCCTTCTTTTTACACTCTAAGGAATGCGAAAATACTATTAAGAAAATTATGTGTGTATGTGTATATGTGTGTATGTGTGTATGTGTGTATGTGTGTATGTATGTCCGCAAATTTTCGACCGCGTATCACGGAAAAACGGTTCGATCGTTTGAAGTGAAACTTGGCAGTCTTTTAGGCATTAGCCTAACTTAAAATCCTAGCGATAGTAGATTAAAAAATATTAATATGGACGAAAGTTATGCCATTTTTTCAAAAATTC